TTTTTTGCTTAAAAATTACTTGCAGTTATCGATATTATATAGATGAGTGCCCACCACCAAAGCGTAACTTTTATACAGAATTTTTTGTATGTATGTATAATTATACCATCACCAGAAAGCGCACGTAAATAGCTGCATAGCATATACCCCAGTCAAAGCCAACAACAAAATCATTGGCTACTTTGTAACTACTAAAACGTAGAATTAGCGTAATAAATGCAAAACTTACCCTCCTCGGCTGCTTTTTTCTCCTGGCGACGTTGCAGTACGACCTTTTTAAATACAACGGCTGCTGCTTCCACAGCATTCTGTATCTCCTGTTCACCCAAAGTAGTTGTGTGTTGCTTTAGTTAGAGCAAAGAAAAAGTATGTACACTAATGAAAATGAGATACTACATAAATATTTATAAAAATTATAAAATAAGGGATGTATCAAGAAAATTTACGAAAGCCAAATTTCGAACCACAAAATTGTTATGAATGAACCATTTATATTTCCTGCCAGGCATTGTACAAGTCCATTGGTTAGACCAACCAACAGGAAATAGGTAAGGGAGATTGACATTACTCACTCTTTCCACTATGTGTAGCATAATCTCCACAACTCACCTTGGGAATTGTCGTTGCAACGCCTTTATTGCCTTCTGTCGTGTCAACTGTTGGATTCTGTTTTTGCATTTCATCAGAATTTTTTGCTTGATCATTGCTGTCACTGTCTTTTGTCTTGTTAGTCTTCTCTTTGAATTCATCTTTTTTCTCTGGCGACTTATTGTTGCCATTCAATTTTGTAGATGGCAATGATACTTTCTGTTCCCCGGTATGCTGTTGTTGTTCATGTTTTTTATTTGCTGATTTTAGAGATACATCGGAGTTTCGTCTTTCGTTCGAATAGGGTTTGTTGGCACCTGTAGATAAGGGGAGCGAGTCAGAAGCCAATGAATTAATTAGTAGGTCATAGTATAAGGTATTTCAGAAAGCATTTCATTTATGCCTTAGAAATTAGAAGTATATTTTAAGAATATGCAAATATTGGAATATTAAACTTTTTCTAGTTTATTTGTGGGTTTGGTCTCGAAACTATTCAATGGCATGGGCGAACGTTAATTAATGTTTTAAGGCAGAGTTGATGGGACTCACTTAGACTCAGGGACCTTTGTGGAACCGCTTGGGGTTGTCCTAAAAACACTTAATAATAATAGATTGGTCCTTACACAATATGTTATTGTTTGACCGAGGTTCTCCTCCAATTTGTGGCGTGCGCCTTGATTTTGTTAGACAAAGGGCCGACCGGCGATTGCCATTGCCTGCTGGAGGCGACCGCTATTAGAAGTATTTGTTTTTTTTTGACGTGGGCTCAAACCCAGGCCCTACGGAACGATGTGGCTCACTGCTAACCACTACACCACAGCGGCCGGCACTAAGAATTACTTCGTACTAAGCAAAGTTGGGGATAAGTTCCTAATATCTATTGATCTGAGGACTTTCAGATCGTAGTAGAAATAAATAACTACCACGAGCTTTTGCTTTCCTTATAGCTAATTTCTGGCAGTGACAGAGATGATTTTGGCTTGTTTAACCTTCACCATCGTCCCTTAAGTTTCCGCAAGAGTCGTTCGACGGTGTGTTCGGTCTTTTCCTTTTTTTTTGCACTATAAAATTTGTCGGTATGGCCCAAGACGGCCGTTGTTCTCTCGCCAGCCCGAAAAAATTACTCATCTTTTTCTCGACTTCGACCATGTTTCTGCGCCAAATGTATAAACAATTTTGCTCGTCTAGAAAGGACTTTGCTTTTCAATTGCCTTCCGAACCTGTAGTAGTACCCGCTGGCAAGTATATTCTTTGTTTCATCTCAAGGCTTACATTATTTGCGGTGCTAATGCTGGATCCTTGGTAGTCCCTTGGTAGGCAAATCCCTTCTCTACTTCGAAGTTCTAACTGTGAATAGTGACTCGTTAACCACTTTTACATCATTTTGGTTGCTTATGCTTCCGACTCTCATACTCATTTGCTTCCTGGTCCAAGCTGCGCTCACTCCTCTAGGGACGCTAACAGATGACCTCTCTGCTTGTGCACTGGAAAAAGTATGGTGAGATTAAAATATTCGGGTCCGCATTCATCAGACAAATTCTGCTTAATCCGGCTATTATGGGACATGAGCATACTCCTCTTCATCAAACGCACCACAGCTGACCACATCTTCCGCAGCGTATTTATTTGGAGATGGAATCCCACCACTCATTTATATCCGATCGATAAAAAGTTGTTTATTAATTCTGGATTGATAGTCGAATATCAATGTCTGTTAAGAACGCCAGATTTAATAAGATGATATAACGCCTCCCTAGTTTAAACATACACTTTGTTTGTTGAGCATTTATAGTTTAAAACGATGTTGCTATTAGGATTCACTTACAATCCTTCATTGATAGTTTCTTATAATATTGCGTTTAAATGTTTACATGTCTCAAGGGGAATACCATTAGCGGCCCCTGGGGTAGCCATCAAATCCGCTAGAAAAACACTGTACTAACGAAAATATAATTGTTCTGAGCAAACATTACCTCTAAACTTCTTGCCATGTTTTGACTCATCCTTGTACAAATGGATTGATCCTCTTCTTTTGCCGGCGTTCAATCTCTTATCTTATCTTAGGCTAAATCTGGTCATTAACTTGGTGTTGGTAGTGTCGGTTAAAGAGAGTAAGTCGCAGTTTTGCCAATAAAACTTTATAAAACTATGGGAAGAAAGTTTAATAACTTAATAAGAACTTGGGCAGCTTTTGCTTTCGTTGCCCATGTTATCAGTAGAAAAGCCTGTGGCTGAACTTTGTCCATTTTCCTGATACTTTTTTATTGAGAGCTTCCCACCAAACTACTAGTCCGTAGGAAAACCATCTATGCAGCAATCTTTGGTTCCAGATTTCGATTTTTGCCGATAGCTCTGACACAGAATTACACAGCTGGATAGTTCCATCGATGTAAGGTCCCCAACTTAGTTTTCTATACTGGAATTAGGCTAAATATTTGGCTGTTAAACCTACCTGCAACGATGTTTCCTAGTAAGTAAATATTACCCGTTCAAATTTCGTGCAATTTCATTGCTTCGTTCTATCTATTTTCGCAAGCTGTCAATCTTCTATATTAGGAATTTTATGTTAGGGCCGAAAATATTTTGCAGACTTATCTAAACACCTTTATGTTTTATTAATTGTGTTAAGTGGAGCTGAGGTGGAGTGTTTGGAGGAAAAGTTATTACTAAAGTTTGAATTGCAAACAACTCCGCAATAAGAGAAACAAAGCAGCATAATTTTCAGTAAGTTACCTGCTTAAAATAGTGACTAGATAGAAGGCATATCCTGATCTGAAGACGAGAGATGTCGTTTTAATGCAACTCTAGTTGAGTGGTTGGATACGAATAACGTGAAAAACCTTAGGAAAGGTTCTAGAATCGCCCGTGGATTTCTTCTTTGGGTTATCTTATTTGCTTTAGGCGTTTTCCACAGAGACGGTTTGCTCCCCTCTGCTCTTACATAAAATTTGTGGGATATTGGACGAGATCGGGATTCGTGTTAGTGATTCATTTGTGTGTAAAATTTCCTTTTATAATGCCCACCGAGTGAACTCAACAAATTATGTGTTTGTTTGGCTTGGTGTCTAGCATGTTTTTCTTACTTAACGTGTATAATTAAAAACTTGGTCACTCTTTACTTACCATCTTCTGTATCGGCACCATTTGTGTCACGGCTATTACGTCGTCGAGGCGTTGGTATTTTCGTGTTAGTTCGTGTCTTATCTAAAATATCAGCCAACGGTTTCGGACTCGGTATTTTAGTGGGCTCAACCTTCTTGTTGAACTAAATAGATAAAGAGAACGACAATCAAAAAAGAAATTTTTCAAATTAAATTTGTGTGCTTACTTGTGTCCCTTTTTCAGGATGTGATAACGATCGTCTTGTGACTGGTTTTTGTGGATTTGTTTTCGCACCCGAGTCTTCCGATATTGAGCGCATTTGTTCAGGTTTGCGCCTTTCTTGTGTGTCGTGTGCTTCACTATTTGCCGATGCGCCAGCGCCACTTGCACTGGTTACCACTGTAGGCTCTACACCTCCGGTTGTTGTAGTCATACCGGCCGTTGCTTGCCGATTCAAATGAGCCATTTCTTCTTGTTGTATTTGCAGTTCACGTGATTGTCGTCTTCGCAGCCGATTGTGCATTTGTGGAGTCCGCGGTAAAGCACCACCACTGGCGCTAAGCCCAGTAGTCAAAGCTTGAGCACTCAAGCCACCATCCGCTCCGTAGTAGCTGTAGTTTTGATCGTGCACGAGCACCGTCTCAGCGCTGTGCACCATGGGCCGTTGGTATTGGTTGTAACTGCCGTCATCGGATCCATCATTATAGATAATGCGCGGTTCGCTGCTGAAGCCGGCATTGTAATTTTTCTCGTACTGCACTTCATCCGCCTCCAAAAAGCTGCTGGTGCTGTCGCCAAAGTAATCCATATATTCAGGACGATTGTCTGCTTCTTCGGTGACATTTTGAAATTGATTAAATTGTTGCTTCGCTTCACCAAAGGTGCGCGTGTTAGCATCGGTCGCATTACTGCGTTCATCTTTGATGCATTCTTGACGCACAAGACGACTGGGTGAACGGCTGTAAGTAGCGCAGAAAAATTATAAATCAGAAAAAACTCACAAAAGCTTACTGAAACTTACCTGGATGCACGATTCGTCGGTATCTCTGGTAGTAGCCGCCTATTTTCGGTGTGGTATGGCTTCGTGATCGAGTATTCCTCATTGCTGTGACTGCGAACCTTCATCATTTTGGCATGCTCCCGCGATTGTATGTTCACACTTTGGCTGCTTGAGTACTGTTCGCCGGCGCTGATGCCGGTTGTGATTACGTCGGCACTGCTAACTCCGACCGCCGGCACATGCTGCTGCGATAAGAACTGTCGCTGTACATTCGGAAAAAGAAAGTTCTGCTTGTGACGTGGCGAAAGCGGCATAAATTTCGCTTGTGCCTGGCCTGGTGGTACCGAGAGCGAATTTCCACTAAAAGCTTCCGGATTCGGCAACGTCTGTTGTCGCATAAATTCTGGTGATCGTCGATATTGTGGCGAGGTCTGACGCTTTGGTGGAGAGGTGGGCAACAGTTTGACATGTTGATCGGGGTTTGGTAACGTGGCCTGTCGCAACATGCGTGCTTTGGGCATAACTTGTGTATAGTCCATTTCGTCAGCTGGTTGCGTTTGGCCAGTTTGTGGGTCGTAGTTGGATTGAGCAGGCTGTTGCGGTGGTACCTGTTGCTGCTGTTGCGTAGGCTGTTGCTGGTACATAGCAGATCCTTGGTAGTTGGGTGAGGTGGGTAGCAACTTGCGTTGATATGACTGGTTGGTGGGCGGTGTGGTACCAAAATTGAGATGATTCTTTGGCTGCTGCTGTTGTTGTGTAGGAGGCTCTGCCATGTTGCACGGAAACGATGTTTGACGCATGAACGGTGGATAACGTTGCTCACCTGGAGAACGCTCCGGCGAGCGGCTGTAGGGGCGATTCGGTGAAGTGGATAAATACATTGGCGGTTGGCAGGGATTAGCCGGGAGGGTTGATTGTCTGCGCACCTGAAAGCGGAAGAATAAATTTACGTGCAACAGTAACAGTCAATGTCAATTATATCAATTGAGTGAGGAAATGCAAATTTTTGTGGTATCCCACAAGGTTTGCATGCTCTGGTGATTTGATATAGCAAATACCTGTAGGCGATGATGCGTTTGGGGATTTATCACACTCTGCGGCTGCTGCTGCTGTTGTGGCTGAATATTCATAGGTTTTTGCTGTTGCTGCTGATGTATTTGTTGAGAATAATTATCACAATCAGTGGTGCTCATGTTTATAATGTCATCACTGTTATATGCGCTAGGATAAATTGGACTTTTCTGCATCTGATGCGGTGAAGTGGGTGCAGTAAGATTCACGTAATTATAATTGGCCAAATTGGCGCCGCTGCCACTTAGATTTGGATCGTTGTTGGGCAGAGAACTTGGCAGAGTTGATTGACGTAGGACTCGTCGTTGGGTATTCACCAGATAATCGGAAGTCGGTTGGGGATGTGCGGCTCCCACAGTGCTTATACCAATCACGCTGCCACTTTGATAGGCAGTGGGGTGTGGGCGTTGTTGTGACGGTGGGCGTACGAGAGAGGGATAGCTGCCGGCAGATTGCGATTCGATAAGGTTGTTTTGTTGTGGATAAAGATTATCAGCGCCGGGATTTTGAGGGTTTTGATTGTTCGAATCGTCCTCGGGATCTGTGAAAAGAAGAGTTATGTATTGGAAACGTGATCGTCGCACTAAAAATGGGAAACGAATATTAAATTAATGGAGGACAAATGACGGATGGATAGGCGTATTGATAAGGAATCGATGCCAGATCTTTCATTATTTTATTTTTAATTTATTTATTATTATTTTTTAATTTATTTGAAAGACATGTGAATTTTAATTAGCGATAGATTCCGAGATTCGCGGTATAATTCTGAAAAACGACGGAAGGGGCGGGATCGGGACTTAAGAATTTAATTTTGGGATGGGCGGGATCGGGATTAAATATTTAGTCCCGCGCCTATCTTTATTAATAATGTGTATACATTCTGTCAAAAAAATACTGAAATCGGTCAATAAAACACAAAACATGTATTATATCTTATTTATTCTATTCATTCAAAATGTTTACTACAGATTGTAGTTTGAGTTTAATAAAGAGACAAAAATCGGCCGGAGCAATATCATAGAAATACGGTGATTGTTCAATAGTATTTGCTGAGTTTCCCTGTCTGCAGCGACTTTAATTCGAATAAGTTTTTGAACAAAATTAAACAATATTGAGCACTATAAACAAACTAAATACCAAATAAAGCAAAACTATAAATGCCCACTACATTAGGTTAGGTTACGTTAGTTGTGTACTTGGAAATTTAGGAGAATTTCCTCTGTGATACCACGGAAACTGTGCGGAAGCGCTGCGAGCTTATTAAAAAATTACGAATTCGTTTGATGTCAATGCCTGAAAGCTCCTCATTTTTAGACTGTGAGTGCCAGCCAAAATGTTTCCACCTTAGCCTCGTGAAGGTTGGGCAGTCTAATAGAAAGTGCTGAGATGATTCCGCTCATAACCCTCTTGCCAGCTACTACAGGAAGGATCAGGTAAAATTCCTAAACTTACCGTGTGAATACTAATCGCACAGTAATCTGACAGAGCATCACCAACAGCGAGAGCTTTGCGTGAGGTGTAAGGGGCTCTTTTGACCGCTTCCGATCCACCCTAGGCCAGCAGGATCTTGCAGTTGCGCACTTTTAATTTTTAACATGAGGCCCAACCATCCAAGAGAAATCCACGGGACGGAGGTGTCCCCTTCGGGTTATAACGTTTAAGGGTTGTCTTTCCTTGCCAAGCCATCTGCCACTCAGTTACCCGCATTGAGGCTGTTAAGAAAATACTGCAGTTTCGAATGCACCGCCATAGCAGTCAGGGACCTTCAACCATATATTTCCGCTTGACTAACTGAGTTAAAGAATTTTTTGCATTCCGTTTACCTTCTTTTTGAAACGCTAAGTGAAGTCAGCTCCTTCTCAATCTGATCCTTTCTTCCGATACCACCGGTGAGATTCGTGTTGAATGATTTCAGGTTTGGTCTGCGGTACTCGTCGTGTATCGGAAGCTCCAAGAGCCGCCTCAACAGAAGTTTTCTTTGCAACATTTGGCAAAATAATAATAATAATATTTTGGCGCTTAAAGTTTTGTTAAGTATTTGGCCGAGCTTCACCTACATTTCGTGGTGTTAGTCTTGATAGTATTATTTTTGCGGATAGTAGATAAAATTCAGACATAATTAGGTGGTTCACAAGGTGTTGTAAGTGTCGTATTGTTTTATGTCGTAAAGCTTTTAACCGCTAAGTAAATGTTTTTTAAAGCTGTTAAATTCCATAAATCGACTTTTATGGCAGCTGGTGAAACACTTAAATATGATTTTAGCCGTATAAAACTTATGACATACAACAATACGAAGTATACAACGCCTTGTGAACTCCTTAAGTGTATAGTCAGTTCCCTTCCGTACTTTCAAAAGTTGCCCCTTTCCAAGATTTGGCGTATTGTGGATTTACAAGACCTAAAGCCACACTGTTAAGGCCCTATTAGTTAACGGTAGGCTTCAGCCTTTCACACAATATGCTCGATAACACCTTAAAGCTAATGCTTAGAAGGCGGATCTCACGGTAGCTGACGTATATGGCCGGGTCGGATCGCCATTCTTGTGGATTGGGCAGAGCATACTTAAATTTCAGGGTTGTATGTTAAGCTGCGAAGATTCCTGCACTTTTTTGACAGAACATGTGTAATGCGAGCTGAGGTAAAATTTAGCAAGTCAAGTTGGTGAAATAAAAAGAGATGAGGCGAAGGTTATGAATTGCAGAAAAATTAAATTAAATTGTATGAAGTTTGATGTTCAGAGATGGAATCAGACCACGCATTATGAATAATAAAGAAATTCAATGTACTGGTTACAACTAAATATTATTATTTTCTTATTGCTCTGCTTTCTCAATATGTCCAAATGTGTATATACAAAAAAAAAACAATAAAAAATTGGTACCTTATTTCCATTGGAATTATAAAACCTATTTTATTTTAAGACTTTTACCAAAATATTTCGGAAAATTATAAAGATTTACGTGAGCTGGACCGATTTGAAAATACCTCTAAAAATGGAGTTTTTATGAATAAAAATAGTTTCTTAAAGAAATTTTTGAAATGAAGGGGTTAGTATCAAGAGGATCTAAGTAAGTCTGACAATATTTTAAGATAATTAAAGTTAAAGTTGATTACTTATTGTAAATGCTGGGTAAATTCATTTGAAATGATTATTACCTCAATGAATGCGGGCTAATTAACTAATTCAAAGAATGTTTACTCGTTGTATCAAATACTTTATAATAAATACTTTATTTAACTATACAAATATGGGTCTAACTTATATTTTCAAAAAATGTCACTTAGGCCCTTATGAATCTAACCCCATCAAATAATCCCCCCAGATGACAAACCAGTTTAAGCTTGAAAAACCTAATCCGGTTAAGACACCTCATAGTGCATAGTTGCAAATCAACTCATTAAAAGTATAAAAGAGAAAGGTTGGGTAAACGAGCCTCATTCCAAGTTGAATTAAGACGTGTTGGTATTTGAAAAAAAGGGGCATGAATGAGAAATACAAATAGTGGGAAAATACCTTTCCACTGATACCTCATAAGTCTCAATCGGCATAGTTTTGGACGAGTTATTCAAGTTTTTTTTTTAAACCAATCTTTGAAAAAAGTTAAAAAATCTCATTATTACGATTCCGTTGAACAAACTTTTAAATATTTTTTTGCAGATTTTTCAAGGTTAAACTGAGGGGATGTTTTCAAAAAGTTCTTTATGAAACTATTTTTATTCATCAAAAACCCAATTTTTGGAGGTATTGTAAAATCGGTTCAGCTCACGTAAATCCTAATACTTTTCCGAAATATTTTGGTGGATGTCTTCAAATATAATAAATTTTGTGATCCCGGTGGAAAAACCGCAACTTTTTTTGGTGATGCAGTCTAATGTACATAGTATATGCGGTTCACTATGACAAATTCACTTTGCATTATTTTTCTTTTTTATTACTCACTTGATATCGTCCAGGAACGTCGTATACTGCGCCGCAACACGTCGGTTGTGGGTAAATGATCGACAGCACCGCTCGAGCCGCGCGTGTAATCCTTTATCCACTCACCACTGGTGGATGTGTTTGCTTGTATCTCCCTGCAACAAGAGAAGCAATTCCATTTCACAATCAGATGCATTTTCATTGCGTTAAGATGTAGTAAATAGATAACTAGTTTTTATTAAGAAGAAGGCGGAGTATGTATGTAAATTGTTATCATTCGTAATAAACGCGAAACTATTGACTATATTTCAGTTAAATAAAATAAGTTAAACAATTTGCGTTCGTCAGTTTCGACGGTTAACAAACAAATGAGTAAGTTTGCGAACGCGGGCGAAACAATTGATGGCACAAATGACAAGTTACGAGACAGTATTGTATGAATGTAGTAAATATGCATATAGTAACTACATATGTACAGCAATCCATCTATTTTTTAAAGTTGGAAGCCAGACACTTGTGTGGGCAAACACTGTTTGGCAGTAAAACATTTGCAAAGACCTGAGATGGATTTGGTGGCATGGCAAGGCTGCGAAAAACGCGGCACAAACGCTTTTTCATATATATATATGTTTATGATCTCCAAGTATGCATACTAGGGTGGTACAAAAATGCATGTGAAAACGTATTGACGGAATTTTAATGCTTTCGTGTCCTAGGATTATTCTATATCGAATAATATACGCCTGGATTTGTTTTTTGAAATCAAAATTTAATTAGGGGTCGCTGAAGCCCTTTTTCATATGCCTTATATGGGAAAACCATTTTTTGTGGAAATGGTAGAGTTATTGGTCGCAAAACTCTGTTTCTCTTCAGGAGACTTCCAATATAATACCCAATTGCTTATTTTACCATTTTTTGTTACTTCAAATTTTGTATGGGTCTCCCCATTGCATTTTTTGGGGTTTTTAGGGGATAGTTAAAGTGAAAAAATTGTTGAATGAACCATCGTCTCCTGAAGTTTTCCGACCGATAAATATTTATTTTAAGAACTGAATAATATCGAAAAAAGTAGACCTGTAGTTTCTTATTTTGAAATCGGTTACTATTTAATCGCCCCCCGGGAGAGGGGGGCTTGCATTTTTCCATGCGGAAACACATGTTTTCGTAGCATTGCTATAAAATCATTAAAAAAATATATACGAATACATATTTATCTTCCGAAATCTTTAAATAATAAAGTTATAATGCATATCATTGTTTAAAGTACAAAATCGCGTATCAACAAAATGCAAAACCGCGTATGTGAGATTGCATAAATTATTTTCTAGATAGTAAAAACTATTATATTTCAAAACGGTTCTCTTTTTTATAAAGCAATCACATTTCTGGCTAATATATTTCAGGACGAATGGATAAGGATTGAGCCAAGAACTTGTGTGAGCAAATCTAATTTTTGCCAAAAAATGTCAGGTTTTGCAGAACGATGATACGCGGTTTTGTGCTTTAAGCGACGATATTTAACTTTAAAGTTTTACTTACTAATTTTTCATAACCATTAACATTATTTCTTTATTAAAAAAAGCACCTAACGCACGTTATATGAAAAATAAAATTTTAGAGTTATATATGCATCATAATTTATCTTTTTTTTGGGATTTTTGAAGGGAAATATTCTTACTCCATCAAAAAATTATTTACTTTTAAGGATTTTATAGGAATTCTACGAAAAAATTAAATATTTATTTATATAGAAAAATTCAAAGCCACAGCGGCAGGGTATAATATTAAAACCGATTTCAAAATAAGAAAATACAGGTCTGCTTTATTCGACATTCTTCAGTTCTGGGTGGTGGCATTGGGAATGTTCGAGAAAGTTGATTTTTTCTGTGTATTTTTGGACCACCCTAATACACATACATGCATATATGTACATACATATATGTATATGCGTTCCATATATTCATCTATTTATGTGTTCTCTGCTGCTGCCTTCTTGATTAACAACAAGTCGGTGTAGGCCGATTTAGGTTTGGTCGATTTGTGCATCCGACAACGCCAACAATGAACACCAATATCGCACTCACTCAAAATTAACCATTTTGGTAGCTTTCATAAACACGTAAGACGATTAGAATATTAATATGCAGAAACCGTCTTCTAACGCCTAAGCTGCTGCTTCTGATTGTTGCTAAGAACTCAGCCATCATTGCAACTGCTGGTTGGTGCCAACAAAGCAAATGTTGGGACTGCTTTTGTCAGATATTATGTTTGTATGTATTATGTTGTAGGTGGTTGACGGTAGGTGACACATTCTTGCAGACAAATTGCAGCCTTAACTATATTGTACATATGTACATCTAATTAATTACAGAGAAGCATGCGCTTGAATGCAAAAAGGTTTACACGTATATATGTAGATATTGTAGTGTAAGTACATATGTATATTAGGGTGCTTTTTTCACGACAATTTTTTTTTTTTCACTGCCACCTCGAAATTTTGTGGGAAGTAGCTACAAAAAAATTACTTGAAAATTTTAGCCCTTAGTATTAAGTGGCAAGTCAGGTAATTTTTTTGTAGTTATTTCCCACAAAATTTCGAGATGGGGGTTAAAGAAAAAATAGTTCTTATACCATAAAATGCCTTTGAACTGTAGCATTTGGAAGAAAAAGAGTTAAAGTTTACACACCTGTACTTTAAATGGGAAATCTTTGCACGCCTTGGTCGAGCACTTAACATTAATATTAAGGGTTAAAATTTTCAGGGATTTTTTTTTAATGTTGCCTCCAAAATTTCGAGGTGGGAGTGAAAAAATAGTCGCAAAAAACAGCAACCTAATGTAGTATGTAGTATGTAAATTAAGGAGAATCTTATAAGACACTTTTTAAAATTCTTTTGTAGTTTGCAATGCGGTACTTTTTTGGTTCCAATTTATAACAAAATTATCTCTTCGGAATTAAGTTCCAATAAGTAGCGTCCCTCGAACTTGAAAGCAAAAAAAATTTAATTATAAAAAGTTTTACTGGATTCACATACACACATGAGAAAATAAACACTGAAAAGATAGGAACATTTAAAGATCAGATTTGACTTTACTAAAAAAATTAAAGCTACACGACCAAATTATTAAATGAACTATCGTATTCGTAAAAAAAGAGACACTTCATATCGATCTTGTAGTTTGAAATTTAAAGGTTGAATTGTTGACTAATTAGCTACGCTGTGCCTTTATTAAACTAAAAAAAAAAACTTGTTTCAGATTATTTTCACCAGTTAAGGGGCATATGTTACACATGTTTGTATAAAAAAAATATTCTTGAAATATAAGAGTCTCCCTAATATAATTACATTTATTTATATAAAATAGCTATGTAAGTTTGTATAAACATACATATTAGAGGGCTGCATGAATGCATTCAAAACGGCTTATGAATTATTCATAAATATACAAAACGAATGAATGATTTTGGCTTTAATTTTTTTTTTGAGTTTGAATGATATTTGTGTCAACATTACATTATTCAAAGTGAAAATAAATTGAATTGAGTTAAATCCAATTTTTTGTATGAATATCCAAAAATATTTTTCCTATGCACATATGTACAAACATACAAATGTACGTATGTATGTACAGTATTGGACATTTCTATAGCACCCCCCTTTCAAAGCGATATTGTTTGCCACTTATGTTTAGTTATTTGTTTTTACGAATTTTCAACTAAAACACAGTTCATTCTCTAACAAAACCCATATAAACCCATGTTTTCAACTTTTTAAAAGACCGCAAAAAAGCGCAACAAACTTTCCTTAAATTTCAAACTTTTTTCTCAGAAGCTCTAAAATTTTTTTGAGTACACAGCCATATAAAAATAAATTGTGTTTAGTCGTTATATGGAAGCAAATGAGACACAAAAAATTCAAAAAAATCCACGGTAATTTTTAGCTACTTGAAACTTGCACATTATTAGACTAAAATTGAATGGGCTATAAAACTGTGTATTCAAAAAAATTCTACCGCTTCTGAGAAAAAAGTTTGAAATTTGGGTAAAAATTTGTTGCACTTTTTTGCGGTCTTTTAAAAAGTTTTACACAAGTACACAATACATTAACAAAAACGGTACTAGACTGTCTCGCTTTGATTTCGGAATGCTTACACATTGAGAAGCTAGCTTACTGCCAATATAGAAGTATTACATATATGGCTGCGCTCCTATTACATACGAAAAAACTCGTTTGTAGAAAAATCTTTTACCGAAGTGAGTTTGAATGATTTGAATGTTTTCCATTCATTCCTTCACATTATTCCATTTGCAGGTAGGATATTTAAAACCAATGAGTTTGAATGATTTGAATGTTTTCCATTTATTCCTTCACATTCTTCCATTTGAAGGTAGGAAATTTATAACCAAATGTATATTCATAACTTACAAAATTCCAAACGCTGAGTATTTTGTATGTGAAGAAAATATTCAAATCTACTGTACTCGGTTTGGCTAGAAGTTTGAATGAATTCATGCAGCCCTCTCATATGCATATATTTTTATTTACTCGCCTTTTTTGACCCCGACTTTTTTCACGTATGTATGTACATACATATGTACATAGTAAGGTTAAAAACAAAAATTATAGCACGCAAAGCTTGAGTGGGAAACAAAAGATGCACCTTAAAATGTTTATTAGTATATTTTTAATTACTTGTGCCAAATTGACGAGTTAAATGGGTTGGGGCACTTCATAAAAGTGAATTTTTCGCACTTCAAAATTAACGCATACACGCATACGTATGTACATATGTATGTATTATAGTAAATGTAGATTTACATGCGTATGTACATTAGGCATATGACATATGATGAAAAACCAACGTTTTTATCAAAATTTGGTACAAAAGGTTCCCGAAACAAATTCTAGGAAAAAATTGTACTGAAGAAATAAAAATATGGGACATTGCATGACAAACGGACCAAAACTCTGCCCAAAATTCTATGAGATAGAAATTGACCTAAAACATGTTAGAAGACTCGTAAATTTATAATGCATCTAATAAAACGCGGCAGAATTGAAAATTCAGTATTACGTAAATACTGCAACCCTTCAAAAACGTCATGTCAGTAAAGGCTAAAGTTTCTAGGGTCGCTGATCATGAATGTATATCACAATTTGAATATTCAAAATGGCTGATCCAATATGGCGAACGATTTTCT